TATATATATATATATATATTCTCTTCGTACAAATGAAAATATATATGTGTTCTCCATGACCCTTTCTTTTGCGTCTTGGGATTCATGAATGTCAAATTTCAAAACCGCTGGTCTTTTCAATTCAATAAAAAGGTTGGTTGCTCTTGAAACCTAGAATACATTATTATAGCCCATACTCGAAAATTATGTTCTCCTTCGAATCGGATTAAGCACCAAACCTATATATATAAGTATACTATTAGAAATATATACGAATCTTTGATAAATATATTTCTCTAACATATATATATATATACATATATATAGCGATATCGGGCAATGGTTTTTGGAACACGTCTGTTTTCCTTACACCACTTTTGTATAAAGAACATGGGAAAAAGATTAAAAAAAAAAGATGAACTTTAAAGTAATAAAAGGTAATGTTAAATATTGGGAATAATTCTTTATGATTTTAAAATAGAAAAGGGATAATGAATATGTCTGCGTGATTATGAAAGATCACCTATAAAATCAAAACACGAAGTTTTCTAAATGTAAAATGGACAAATCAACGTCTTCGAATATGCACTGGTTTGTCCATTAATATATAGAAAAAAGTACAGGCAGACGTATATTATAAATAATTGACAGAAGATTATTGTAACTTATCCATTATACGTACGATTACACGCAAATATCAATATGTAAAGTATCTATGAGGTATTTAAATAAATGTTGGGCCATATATGTATTTTCTTCTGAATCTTTCAGTTGTGACTGATTTATCTATGTGATTTGTATACTATTACTCAGGATCGATGGATTTTAACAAAAAAAAAATCGATGGATTTACCTCGATATAAAAAAATATGTGAAAACAGAACAAAATTTATTTATAAAAAAAAAAGGAAAAGGGAAAACAACGTCTGAGGCTAAGCCCATTGATTCGAGTAAGAAACCCCCATCTGACATTTTTTTTTGTCCAACATCAGAGCAAAAAAAAAACAGAAGAGACTTGGTTTCAGTTCAGATCTGTCCGATGCAGCACGTGATTCGGTTCAAATGTCACGTGCCAGTTCGGTAAGCGAGAACCCAAACCTTTGATCCAGAATATTCGGTGGTGCTTGTTTATTATCCTGTGTGAGAATATTTTCCAAAAACATTCTGGATATTCTACTTGCGAACTCATTTCACTAAAGTACGTAAAAAAATATTACTGTATTTTATATTTATTAAAAAATAAAACTGCAGCATTCCCACATTGCCTTACGTAAATAATAATTCATGCATAGCTAAGATTTGGATAACTTTCGCCTTTTAGATTTCTATGAGAACCAATATGCAAAAGGGCGAATATATATACTATATACTATATATATATATATATGCAAAAGGGTTTTGTGATTTGATATTTTTAAAATCCATTCTTGTGAATTTGTATTGATGTGTTGTACATTTAAGAACTTTATTATCTGTTTCAAATGTTCGCTTGAATCAATGAGAAAGCGGTTTCTAGTACACATATTCAATTATTGGAGTCCAAAAATCCATTTTAGAAACGGGAAAAAAAATTAAAATGGTGGATTGGAATATACATATATATATATCAACGAGATGATAACTCCAATCGGTTGAAGAACACGAGGGTCCCACATTTGGGGGGTCGGATAAGACATCGAGACCAAAACAAAGAAACCACGTGTTCGTCTAATCTTCCACGCGGCGGCCTTTTCATGCGTCGGATTTCCGGCACGTGGGGCCCACGCGCTCTCTAAATAATTCTCTAATCACCTTAATTTATTACAATGAGAGATTTATTTAATCCATTTAATATCGGTCAAGAATGTATAGAAGAAAAAAAAATATTCATTTTTTTGAGGTTCATCCAACCATGTCAAACCATTAAATCTGAATAAGCTTTGCTTGGTAAATATTCTAAACATACTTATATCTTACGAAGTATATTCACAACTCAATATCTTTTTTTTAAAAAAAGGCTTTGTATTTATTGAATACATTTTTCAAACGAAACGGAAGATCTATATATATAGTTCTGTCTCGAACAAAGATTTATTGCTCTTTACAAAAAAGGTAGAAACAAATACGGTATCAACAAAAATATTGAATTCGTATTCGATCGTTTTCCTCTAAATGAACATGTTTTGCAACATTTAAAGAGAGAGATATATTCGATTTTCATTTTCCGGAAAAAGTCGTATAATTAATTTAGAGAGACAAGTTTTGATTATATATACTGCTACCTAATTTTGATCCATTGCATCAGGTAACAGGTAAAAGGCATACGATACTAATTACCATCCGTATCTAGACCTAATCACCTTACAGGTTCTGGATATTTAAACATGATTAATATAAATCTGATTACAAATAACCTTATGTTGTTGGTCGCAAATAGTAATTGAAAAAAAAAGAATAATTCGAGTATATCCGAAAGGGAGATGCAGAGGTCTCGTGATTAGTCATGCTGACATGGAAACAAGCTGTCCTGCCCATCATTCATCCAAAGATCCTACTCATTTACCAATCATAATCAGCCACGTCATCACTCCGCTTGTTCGCGGCGCCCTGCATCTGTTCTCCCCATCACACGTAGGTCCCACCTCATCCCCTCCGATTATATATACCCTCCCCTTTTATCCCTTTTTTCCCTCACACCAAAAAAAAATATTCATTAGGGAAAAAAATAGTTTTCCTCTTTCTACTACATTTTCCTGAGATAGGAGGATGGATCGGCAGAATTCCGATGACATCATGAGATTTCTCGACGGAATGGCGAGCTCCGACGATGTCCTCTTCGGATTTCTAGACGACGGTAACAATTCGCCGGATAATTACCGGGATTCCGGCAACCCTGGCGGCGGCGACGACGACGACGACGAAGATGACGACGGCTGCACTTCTGAAGAGAGCAAGGCTTTCTGGCAGGAACAAGAGCAGCTTCTCCAGGTATTGATCACCACATCAAAATTCTCGCAGAGATTTTCAAATTTTTTAATTGTAATTCGCGATCGTTGATTTGGACGAATTAATTCGTGCAGGCGACGATGTACAGGACAAACGCCGTCGAAACGAAAATCAGACACGCGACGAAAGAGGCGTTGAACGAAGTAAACTCCTCCGGTCAGAAATGTTTGTGCCGGAGACCGGTGGCCGGAGGCTGTCGGATTTGCTTACGCCGGGAAGTTGCTGTCCATCTACGAAATGCCGGCTACGATTGCGTCGCCTGTAAATCTAAATGGAGAAGTTCTCACGATATCCCCGCAGGTACATATCCAATATCAACTCGATGTTTTTTTTTTGTACTTGTGCCTAGCTAAGCCCATTTGCAAGATTCCATCGGAGAACAAAAAAAAATCTAACCAAAGAGGAAAAAAAATCGCGTGATGGGAACAAGTTGATTGATATTGTCAACACGATGGATCTAGTGTTCCATAAATTATCACATTTAGGATTTCGAAAAAAAAAATGTGATTTTCCGTGGATTTTTCCCATTTTCTTCTACGACCGGGTCAGCTGAATGAAATATCTTTTTTGATTTTTTTTTTCTAACATATAAGCAGCATTTATGACCACAACCTACTAAAGATTTCGTCCTTGTTTTTTTTTTGGTTGACACATATATTTTTGTACTTGTCAAAAACATCTTTGTCATGCCCAACGAGTTAAATCAAGGACTTTGTCAGCATGTACAATACCTAATTTTTGTTTAAAGGAAGTGGCTGTCACTCCCTGAGCCGAAAATCCGATGAAATAGTAAAAAGATGGATGAATGATTTACAGCTAATTTATACACTTAATTATGAATCAAGGGGCTAATAAAGTATTCGTGATTGACAAAATCTCAGGTGAGCATGAATACCTTGAGATAGTAGATCAAACGACGGGTTCGAGAAAAGGGGAGATCAGGGTGGTGATAGAGCTGTCGTTCAGGGCGGAGTTCGAGATGGCCAGAGCCTGCGATGAATACAAACGACTCATCAGCCGTTTGCCGGAAGTATACGTCGGCAAGGCGGAGAGACTCCGATCTCTGGTCAAGATTCTGTGCTCCGCCGCCAAAACATGCATGAGACAGAAGAAGATGCACATAGGCCCTTGGAGGAAACAAAGGTACATGCAGGCCAAGTGGTTGGGCGCTTCCGATACACGCGCCGTCGTGCCGGATACCTCGCCGGAGCCGGCATCGGATGATCGGATGCCGGCCAAGCCTAACAGGGTTTCCATGCTCAATCTTGGTTTGGTAGCCGGTCCGACCGCCGTAGCGGTTGTGTAGTTTGATTACAATATAGTAAAAATCGGAGTTAATTCATCAAATTAATTAGGAGAGTGAAAACGTGGGCGAGGGCCATATGTAATGAGGTGAAGATTGGGGGTTTGATGTGTCGCCGGAAATTGTAATTAGAGGCGGACTGTAGCTTCTGCCGACGCCGTCTCCGGGGGAGTACTTTAGTGTTGCGTTGTGCGATCATCATCGTCAATGGATGCGGATAAAGAGTTTGTATAAGATTGAGGTGGTTTGAATATGATAGTAATGGTGTAACCGAAGGTGGCCATTTCGAATTTTTTTCAGATAGATTCGATTCGGTTATATTTAAATTTGGTTATCTCGATTTTAGATTTAAAATCGGTTATTTTGATTTTGGAAAAAACTAGAACTATTCAATTTTTATAAAGAATTTTGTTCAATTCAATCTATATGTATTGGATCCGATTTCGATTTTTAATAGTAAAATATATCAAATTTTAAAATAAATTTGAAGTTTTCGATTGTTTTTTATTTGGTAGTTTTTTCGGTTTTAGAAAATAATAATAACCCGATTGTTATAATAAAGTTGGTTCGGTTCGAATCACTTTAATTAGTCGGTTATTTATCAAATTTTCGAAGAAGATTTTTATTTATTTCGTCTAAAAAACACAGATGGGATTTTTCCAAATTGTATAATCCTTGTGGAGGTATGAGAATAATAAACCATTTTGCACTATTGGATTCCGGTTCATGTGAGATTCTGAAACACACACGTTACCAGTTTTTCTGAATTTTGGTTACAAAGTGTACAATCCTCTCTTACAAAATTGTACGCGTGAGTTCGTCGAGGCAGCGCCTTGCCACACGGATCGAGATCTCCAGATTTGGTCAAAACCACGAAATTATCTCGATTTTGTTAGTGTGATTCTTGATCTCTTAAAGGATTTAGAAATTGTTTGGTCAAAGGTTTCTTGATACCCACGGGCTCTCTGCTTGATGGATGATTTCTTTAATCTTCAGCAAATAAATTACAGAAACAACATCAAAACCACCATGTGATTTGAGTTATACTCTATTTTTCCAAACTTTAAATTTGAACTCGAGACAGGACCGGTTGAACTAACCAAGTTTGAGTTTTTATTAATGGTATCCAAATCGTGGATGGGTGTTTATCCCAAAAACAAAAAATCATGGCCGGTGCTACTATTCATCCCTCCAAAACAAATTTATTAGCCTCTCTCTCTCTCTCTATATATATATATTCACATCAGACATAAAAAATGCAATGAACCGAATGCATGAGGAGAAGATATTTCTCGACCCAAAAAAAAACACGTTAATATCAATTGGTGAAACGGTAACAATGTGTAATAACACTACAACCTCGGTGGTAGGGGTTAACCGGCCCGCCCGGTCCGCAGTTGTAGTAGGATCTGCCGCGTCGGTTGCACGGTATGTTGTTCCTCTTCAACGCGTCGTAGCTTATATATCTTGTCCCTTTCAGAATCCTGCGACTCATTTCCGTCGCTTCTTCTTTGACGCAGTCTCCGCTCAATGCACTGCACCTTACCTTCTCGGCCACGTCAGATGCCGGCGTTAAAGCCGCCGGGATTATAACGGCCATGAACAGGAGGGTGATATGGTTCGTCATCGAAAAGTGAAAAAACGATCGATTAATTAGGGTTTGTGCATATATATATATATATATACACGGACTTAATTGATTAGATGTTGAATAGTTCTATAATGGGTTTTATGGTATATCACTCTCACTTGCCCGGTTCTTCCTCCGCCACATTTTCTTTCGTGTTGGACTCGATTATTTATTTTCCGATTTTTTTTTGTGCGGGTAAATTATTAAAAATTGTAGAATTGTTTTTAATGGGCTTCTCAAAAAATTCTAAATAGTCTTTCAAATGGGCTTCAGATTATACGCATACGGCCCAACTTTAGGGATGTATACCAATTCGCTAATTTGATTATCTTTAAACCATGAACTATCTTGGCATGATTGATTGCCTTATAATAGTATTATGTAACTATTTAGAAATTTCATAAATGCCGTTATATAATTAACTGAATTTAAATCTTACAAATATCAATTATATAAAGTCTCATGAAAACTACACGAAAAAAAATATAAAACGAAAGATTAAAATGTTTTCAATAAATAAATCGGGTATAAACAAAATAATGGGTGCAGATATGCGGTGAAAATTTCACACTAACATACTTTCTAATCACCTAAAATTAACGAGAAAATTGAAATCAAAATAGAATGTGCGAGTGCATCACGAAATGCATGTTCTTTAGTAAATTAAATTCAGGAATCTATTTATGCTTAAAGGAAATTTAAGGCGTAATCTCTGGATACGGCACCTCTCTTCTTGCGAGGTCGTCTTCATCAGTTAAGCCGGAAAGTAAAACTATTTGCAGCGTTGTCCGCTGACCTTAGGTTTACCCAATAAAGAATTTTTTTTTTTATTTTAAAAAAAGACGCTGGAAGTTCCAACAACAAGGAATCGACATCGATAGAGAAGCTCCAACCACCAGATGATTCATTACCAGTTCTAAGCTACGAAGAATCCGGTTCCTAGAAATTGACACGCGCATGTTGAAGCACGTCTGTGTAGCTGCATATCTGCAATAATCCAGTTCCTGTCTGGTATATACCACCAATCTTCAGTTGGTTACGAACAATTTCCTTACTCTTATCCCAAAACCTAGTTTGTTGGGCTCTCACTTTCTCTTCAGCTAATCCTCTCGCTCGATCTTCGTTGGTTCCCCTTGTTTGACTTCACTTTAAGCAACCTCTTCTCCAATCCTCCTGTCTATGTCCTAATGGGTTGTTTTCTTCGGGGATCGTGGGTTTGTTATCCGAACCGTGTTCTTGAGAGAAGGGGCGAATCGATTCTGACCCAGTAGAAAAAAAATGGGTACTTGGAGTTGTGATCTGAGAAAGCAGCAAAATTTGAGGGTTTGGGGATTAGGGTTTGTGCTGCGGGTTCTTTTCGGTTTATCAATTTGGTTTGCTGTTTCGCAACCGGCAGCCGGGCTGAGACCCATAAGGGAGAGAGCTCGATCATGGGGTGACGAGGTTTGTGTTGTATTTGACTGCTTTAAATTGCCTTCGTTGTTTTGATGTTAATTTGATGTTATCCGGCTTCAAATTCAGGTTTTAGGTTGTAGTTTGGAAATTAGAAATTAATAGTTGATTAATTTGTTGTCCAACCTGTTCATCAACTCGTTCCTGCTAACCAATTTCCCGTGTTCGATGGCTAATATGGTTGTGCTGGGTTAACTTAAGCTAAATTCAAGATCATCCATGCTTTGAAGATAATGTGAAGGATATTAAACTGATTAGGATGAAAGACCCCTCAGCATCGACTGTGATGTATGAAACCCAGGATTAGATTACTTTAAGTGCTGGAGATGTCATGTTTGGGGATTTGGCTTGATTGAGTTCACCGGGTAATCTCTAAGCTTTGTTTAGCTGATGAAACTTCTGAGATGTGTACTTACGAATTATCGACTTTTCTCTGAGGTTTAGATGGGCAAACACATCAGGGTGGTGACACCTTGATGTATTCTTGATGTAGAGACCGACCAATCGTCGCAGACGGAGAACCTGCGCTAGCAGGGTGGCGGATCTTAGATGGGATTGTGCAGATTTTAGTCTGTAGTCCGTGTTAGTTTCTGCTGAATGTGTAGAGTGTGGGTAGAGAACAATATGTTCTGAGTAATTTAGAAGTGTTTGAGTAACGGATATTGTTTGTGATCTTGCAGTGGCTTTTTGGTAGAAAAGAAGAAAGTGAAGTGGGACCGTTTTCCGCTTGGAATATTACGGGAACATATAGAGGTTTGTAATGTGTACAACGTTGATTTCCTATTTCAAAGTTCTTTACTCCTGTCCATGATGTTTTACCCTAAGCTCGTAATGTTGTAGTTTTGAACCCCTTTTAACATACGGTGGGTATGTATATAACCACTCTGTGTTGTAGATGTAGAGTAATTAATAACTAGAGAATGGGTATTACAGGGACTTGGAATTTTCTAGATTCTGCAAATAGCTCTTCGAGATTTCCAGATTTCAGAAAAGCAAATGGCAACTCTGTCATTGAGTTAGTCACAACTCCAACTAAGATAACCGGTGTGCATTATGTGCGGGTAAATATTTCAGCTTCTACATTATCCATCATTGGATCGGACTTGATCTTGTAGCTTATAACATATGTCTTGCTTTTATCGGTGTTAATGGGGAACAGGGCGTAGTTGTTTTCCATGATGTTTTTGACAATGAACACAATGTGGGTGGTGCCCAAATAAAAGTGGAAGGTGTATATATATGGCCCTTTAAACAACTCCGTCTCGTGGCTAACAGGTACTAGCTGACTCTTTTATTCTCTGATTTAATCCCATTTTCAAAATCCATGGTCAAGTTTTGACTACATGGTCTGTACCATACTTGACATTATAGCGGAAAGGAGAGTGATTCCGGACAAGAAGATGATTACCTCCTCTCTAACCCCTATCATTTGGTAATTCTCGGCACTCGTGTGTATTTCCACTTTTATCGTTTTATTTGACCATAGAAATAGTTCCGTTAGCTTACTGGTGTCTACATTTCTGCTGTTGCATAGCTTGGGATTTTCTCCTCTCAGGTATTTCAAGAATCTCCAAAAGACAGAATACTGAAAAAGAAAATTTGTGAGTAGGATCCGAATAAGTTTTCGTTTACAGTTTTTTCGGGTATAAATCTGACATCAATTTCTTTTTGTGGGGGGTATAGCACCTATTTATGAGATGGAGAAGCATTGTAATATTGAAATAGCTGCCCAGATATCACGTGCGGCTCCTAATGAAAATGGTATTGCCTCTAACCTAGACATCGATTCATTATTGACTGAACTTTGCCTTAGTTACTAGCAACTTAATTCATACTGTTTGAAAAATTTTATTTGTTCTCATAGATGCAGACCGGGATTATTATCATATCGAAGGATTGATGGAAAGTCCTGCAGTTGACGATGACGGAGATTGTTTCTCGCCCTTGCTGCTAAATGCAACCTCTGTAAACATTGAAGTCTACTATAACAAAGCCGTGAATTATACGTTGATGGTCACTTTTGTATCCTTTGCCCGAAATGCTGTTTTACCATTTCTTACCAGAAGACATTGGGTATGTGCTTGTTTTTTGTGGGATCCTTAACTCCGTTTTTGCACTCAGGTCTCTTTCCTTCAGGTTCTTCTGTTAATCCGACAAATGGAACACAGTAATACACAATCTGTAAGATTCTTACTTTTACGTTAATCGGATCTTCAGTCGTTATAGCGTCTCTTTGGAGTGATATCAACGTTTTTGGAAAATATATAAGGGTGCTGCCAAGGTGTCAATCGTAATGATTGGGCAACAGGCGATAATGGATGCTTATCTATGCCTTCTACATCTCACAGCCGGTATATTAGTCGGTACGTAGACGAATATGCAACATCAAATTGCATTTCTTTTACTGTTTAACTTTCATCGTTCGATATGATGTTCTTTCTGAAAACCGAAAGCTAAAATTGCTTTTATCATGCAGAATCACTGTTCAACGCATTTGCAACAGCAGCATTCTTCAAATTTGTAGTCTTTTCGATTTTTGAGATGAGATATCTTCTGGCCATATGGAAAGCTAGTCGGCCTTCAAACAGTGGTGATGGCTGGGGAACAATGAGACGCGAGCTATCGTTTCTGTACAGCCGTTTCTGTAAGCACCGATTTCTTCGGCGTTTGATCCTATTTTTACTGTTGAGGAAAGAACTTTCTGCTCTTTGGAGAAGGTAAAAATAAAAAGAACAGTATTTGGATTGGGAATAATTGTAATTTTTTTTGACAGATGGGATTCTGCTTGGAGGCATTCTGATAATGTACGAGTTCCACAGCTACATGCGGCCGATTCTTCTTCTCATGTATTCCTTCTGGATACCGCAGATAGTGGCAAACGTCATCCGTGATTCGAGAAAGCCTCTGCACCCTTACTACATTGTTGGAATGACGTTTACACGTTTAGCCATCCCTCTTTACGTTTTCGGATGCCCAAAAAACTTCATGCGTGTCGAGCCGAGCAATTTCTGGTGTGTTTGCCTATGCCTCTTCATGTGGTTTCAAGCCTCGGTCCTTCTCCTTCAGCACTATTTTGGGTCCCGGTGTTTCGTTCCTCGCCAGGTAAAACTGCTTTTCGGGGCCCTCTCCTTAACCCCGAGAAAAAAAATCTGAAATTTCCTCCCGGTTTGGCGGCCTGTTTATCGGGGATAATCTCATTGCAGATGTTGCCGGAGAAATACAGCTACTACAGAAGATTGGATAAGGATGTAAACCGTACGAGCGACTGTGTGATATGCATGACAGCCATTGAGCTCACTCACCGTTCCAGCGACTGCATGGTACAAACAACTCCTCGTTTCGACCCAGTTCTGTTCTGTTCTTTCTGTGGTTATAAAAGATTGATTGGTGTTGGCGGGGAACGCAGGTGACACCGTGCGAGCATTTCTTCCACACGGGGTGTTTACAGAGATGGATGGACATAAAGATGGAGTGCCCGACTTGTAGGCGGCCGCTTCCCCCCGCTTAGATTCTTCTCCTAACGTGGTAGCGACTCCCCGCCGGTAAATACACTCTAAAAATCATCATCATGAATTTCGAGCCAAAAATATATTTTCCTTGTATGGAAGAAAAAGGTACAGGGGTGGCGGTGTTGGTTATATATACGTCTGAGAAGAAATTTGTCGGCACTGAATGAGGAAACTGGTGTAAGATAACCCTCAAAGCTCTTGTAAATTTTGCTTCTTTTTTTATTTATTTAAATCTCTCCATTCGAATTTCATGGTAATGAGAAAAATGTTTTTAAAAAAATAAATTAATGGGTTTTTTTTCTGTTTATTTTTTTGTATTCATTTGGTTTGACTTTTAGTTATAAAAATATGATAATAATTAGTTTTTATATTGGATTCAATTATGGTTACTAGTTATTGGGTCTGAATCGATTCAAGTATATTCACCAACTTTCGAGTCTACGAAATCCTCTGATATTATCAATATCTATGATCAGCTGCATAATGTTGTACAAGTGCATATTCCCATTCAAACCACACCAATATATTTTTTTAATTTCCTGATTTTTTACAATCTTTTTTAAAAAAAATTATAATTAAATCATCATTATCATCATAGTACCATAAAAACCACAGGAGCAAGGCAGACCGTTGAAAGATTAGCCATATTTCTGGCCGAAGAGATAGAGCTGAAGCCTGTCGTAGCCGGCGAGAACTCCGGCGCTGGCGACGCCTCGGAGGATGTTGGCTCCACCTCCCTTGAACAGAGACCTCGTCCCTTCCTTCTTTATGATGTGAGAAAACACGTGGATGGAGCTCGTGTACTTGTCCGCTTCTCCCGACCTCATCATCATTCTCCTCCTCACCGTGTCCATCGGGTACGACGCCATCCCCGCTCCGACTGTGATGCCCCACCCCAGCACGAAACTGGCCATGAAGCTATCCTGTTCATGATATAACCACAAGCGTAAGCAAGCCTGAATTTTTAAATCTGAACGGAACCGATTTGATAATAAAAGGCGAACTCGATTCGAAATAGAATCAAACCGAATTCAATATAAAAATAAAATACTTATCGTTTTTTTTTAATTACTCGAACCCAAATATATAATCGAACCAAAACACGAAATAACCGGGTAAAAAGAGTTTCTTCGGTACCTGGAGATGACCAATGAGAACGACGGGCTTAAGGGAATCGTACAATCCAAAGTAGAGTCCACGGTACACGACAATTCCAACACACGAGATGCTGAAACCACGGTACAACCCGCCAATTCCGTCAGAGGCTATGGTCTTCTTGTACACATCGATCAAGCCTTTGAACTGCCTCTCCCCACCTCCCTTCTTGGCATCGTTTGCCAAACGGGTTCGAGCATAATCCAAAGAGTACACGAAAAGGAGGGATGTCGCCCCAGCTGCACCACCAGACGCCAAGTTCCCTCCGAACCACTTCCAATATCCGTCTCTGTCCTTCTTGAAGTTGAACAGCCTCTTGAAGTAATCTTTGAACGCAAAGTTCAAAGCCTGCAATCGAAATCTTTGTTCTATGACTCAGCACATGAAACGGAAGCATTTAGCATTTTGAGTAAAAAATTTCAACATCTTCCCTTTCTTGTGCCAATATATGTTCAGCAGCACATGAAAGGATAAAACTTCTGTTTCTTTTGAACATTGGGGTTCTTCTAACATGATCATTGGGGGGTTTTGGCTGAAAATAATAGTATCCAACATCTCGTTTGATTATGATAAAGAAGAAACTAACCTGGGTCGGGAAGTATCTGATAACATTTGCGGTGTTGCCTCTCCAAAGAGACAGCACACCTTCTCCCTTGATCGTTCGGGCAAAACAGTCACCAATTCCCTTGTATGGTTCAGACAGACGCCCGGCCTTTATCATTTCGTCTTGGTTTTGGATCAGCAACTTCACACGCTCTATCGGAGCAGCTGCTGTCTTTGACACAGCCGCAGAGACTCCTCCCATTAGGAAATCGACCAAGAAAGTAGAACCGCCTTTCTCTGCAGGAGCTTGAACAAATACCGGCGATGAAACTTTTGGCACAAGGGAAGAATCAGTTCCCTCCTGGCGTGTTGGCTGCAATAGACTCTGCAAACCTCCATTGACATGAGCACCTGAGACACTGTAATTACAAGTGTATACCCTCGCAGAAAGTCTAGAGATCAGTAAGGATTTTCCATGAAGCTTCTGAAACACCGATGGATGTCTTGATCCGTCCATCATTTTCGAAAACTATAAAGAAAACAGTGACCTGCAAACCAAAAAAGTGAAGCCATAATCAAAGGGCACACGACAAAATCTTTGCTTCCTATCTGGAATGGAAGAATTGAAACACCAGCCATTTTCCTCTAAACTAACAGTTCGAACACACTATCATCGGCCATAAAACCACCACAAACAGGAAGCCAGATTATTCAATGCTCCACAACACAGATCCAAGTAGCATCATCAAAATTACAATTTCAATCAATCAACCAGAATGCTTCCAAACCAAACTAAAACGAGCCATAATCCCTGAAGATGTACTCACTAAATTCCTAATCACAAGTTCAAGACCGAATTCGAAAGAAACAGAAAAACATAGTGGTACAAAACTTAGAGTAGCATCAAGAATCAGAAGGAAACCCATAGGAGAACAAAAACCTTACCTAACAGGTGGAAGGGAGAGCGTTGACTCTGGAGAGAGGACTCTGTCTGACAGAGACAAAGAGTGTTAGATATGGCAAAATGATCATTATGGCTGTATACAAGGATTGGAGGTAAGTAAAAGACTCGAGAATATTCCATGTTGCAATTTTACAGATGACTTACCCGTTCAAAACATCAACCATAAAATAAAGGTATAGATGATAATAGAAAATTATTAATTTTGTTCCCACTCCTCACATAGACCCAAGCTAGCACGGTTTCAGCCTTGGCTAAACAAAGAAAAAGAGATACAAATTTGAAAAACAAGACAGCAGTTTCTACAACTTTGTTCAGACAAAGATGCCCAACTCAGAATTTACATAGAAATTCAGTAAAAGGACAGTGGAGGGAAGGAGACATATTTACGAAGAACACAAGGAGACACGTTGCTTGGCTAGTAACTCCTTTAGTTTCTTCAGGAGCTTGGGGTCAGAGCAAATGTAGCCTTCGAACGATTTTCTAAGGCTCCTCAACATCTCTGTGTCATCTTCACTCGTCTCGCTGTTTAGCAGCTTTGTGAATAGCTCTTTCCACATTTCCACCTTCCAATATCTGCACGTTGGTTCCAAATGAGCCTCGTTATTCATATCATACCAACAAAAGCATTATTCATTTCGGAGGATTATAATTTATAACCAAGGCTCGCCAAGAAGAATAGGATCGAATAATTTCATTGTTCAAGAGATAAGCACCTTCGAAATGTTGCACTTGGCAGATTAACGTGGCCTCCTTTTGGCGATGGCCTCTTTTCAACCTCCATGTACTTGTTGTGAAGCATCATGTGGACTATGACACAGAGTCCATAGGTGTCCACCTGAAGCACACACGTCCAAATTGTCTCAGAACTGGGACAGTCTTATCAAACAAAGAGCTTTAGTTTATCTCTTGCCTGAAACTTCCAGGGCTTGTTCTCCTTCATCTCCACACAACGAAAACCAGAGGTTCTGCAATCTCCTGTGAATTCCGTGGTGCTTGGAAAAAGTTTCAAGTCTATGCCTCTACCCCAGTCGACAAGGCAAAGACCCTGAAGGGAAAAAACACTATTTACTGTGACTGTCCTCATAGACATGAAATGAACCAGGACAACTGGTTAGCGAAGATTTACCTGATCACTCCAAGGACCGCTTCTTTCACAGAAACCTTCTTCTGTAAGGTTGTCTCTGCAATTAAATAATTAATTGGTCGTTCAGTCTTTCACTACCTGATCAATCCAATTACAGGAAGTCGCTTTACAGTGACTTTTGGGGGAATTCAATAAAAGATTAGCCCTGATTTTGCTATAGTCTCAATTTTAATAGCAAAAATCCTAACAGCGACATTGTCCTGCAGAAATTTCTTGAACGCAAGAAACTTACGAAGAATATCTGACTAGAAGATTGTCCGGCTTAAAATCACCATGAATGATGCCAACACTGTGCAAAGTCTCCAGCATGTAGAGCATCTCTACAGTGTAATACATGCACAACACTTCTTCCATGGACTTGCCAACAACGACATATGAGTTTATGACATCCTGGACTCACAAAACCATGAGGACAATAAGCCAGAGATATTTTTGCATCGTATTTCTGTCTGTTCCATTCATGAGAGGAACCCACCTGGAGTGTCCCATGGGAAAGATAATCGCAGATAAGTATGCTGTAGTCTGAATAGAGATGCATTCTCCGAGCCAATCCAAAACTTGGCCTCTAACAGAATAGTAAATCTTTTGTGATTAATTATTTATTCCAAAAAGAAAGAAAAAAACTTGTAATCGGTAAAATAAGTGGAAAAGGGCATACTCGCTTCTCTGGAATCCTGCGGTCAAGTTGACGATACATGTGGAATTCCCAAGGGAAAGGTGGTTCTTGTATCTGACATGCATGAATATATGTCGGAACAATACGCGAGCTGTCTATCAATTGCTCCATTTGGCATTATATGGAACTAAAAAGAACCAAGGACCTACCTTTAAAGCCACGACTTCATCGGGATTGGAGTTGACGTATGCTTTGAACACTAGAGCAAATGCACCTTGACCAGCACAGCCCTTGATCTGGTACTTCCTTCCACCTTGCAAATACACAAGGACATGAATCCAAATCACTTTGTGTCCATCATTTACACGACAGAATAAGGTCTCAGTTATAACAGATCTTATAAGGGTAGGTAATGCACTAGTTAATTTGCATGACATGATAGATAGCCGTAAAAGGATTACCTATCTCAATAATCTTATTTCTTGATGAATTCTGCAAAGATGCAAGGTTTGCTTTTCCCGGGAAAGCTTTGTTGCTTGCATAGTACCCCTGAAGCAAACATAGAGAAGCCTACCTTATCAAGTTCCTCAGCGTTGAATTAAGGAAAAAGACTATAATTTCCGAATTGTCTTACTGTATATTTTACTAGCTGAGGATTTATCTTATGTATCAAAGCTTTCACCGTGGAGGCTGACCAGGGATTAACAAACCGGGTTTCAAGCTCATTAGCCTCGTTGTTGTTGTCATCATCGATCTTCCGGAAAGAAGAGGTAAGCAGAAAAATAAGATGTCGACGTGATCCAAGGAACAAAGAAAGAAACATAAAGAAAAACTGTCTCTAGCCGAACTCATGAAACAGTACAAATCTAAGCATTAGCGTGTAACCAAGCTCGACCAACAACCTTTTGAAGGGAAGGTGCATTTGCCCTCTTTGATAATCTTTTAATAAACAAAGAATAAGCTTCTTTCACCCTGTCAAGCGGCTCAGCTTTCCTATATTTCTCCAACGTATCAAAAATCATTACCGATTGGTACAAAAGTGAACCATCTGATAAGCTAGAAGAACAAGAAAGAAAATTGAAAACAGCAAGAGGAAGAATAAGAGACCTTGAAAAGCCAGTCTGGTAGACTGATTGCGCCCTTTGCCATAATCCTTTAACTTCAAGAAAGAGTGCATACCATTCATAGAGCGAAGAATGCCCTATGCAAATTTTGTTTTCTTCAATTTCACCGTAAACCCTTTCAAAATCTTCGTTACCCTCAAGCTAATCAACAAAAGAGAGAGAAAAACAACACCTAGATCAGGAATTGTGAACCCCAAAAAAATCTTATCAGCATCAAATTGTCCAAAAATTAATGCATCCCAAATCCCAATTCACCAAATCAACAAAACCAGGACGAATGGACAACGGATACACCACAGACATATCCCAGTCGTCCGCAAAACTAGAATAAACCATGAAAACTGGAAGCCCAAGTGAATTAAAGTGTATCTAAGCTAAAAAAAAACTTGGCGGGGGGGGGGGGGGAGGA